GGATCATGACCTGAGCCGAAGGCAGATCCTTAACGATCTGCCACCCAGAGCCACCCAGGCGCCTCAAGTGTTATTTTTTTTAAGTGTTATTTTAAATACTCTGTCAAGAGTAGGACTTATACTTTTAGTTTACTATAATCTCTGTTTTATTTTCACAACCAAAAATTGCCCCAAACATGAAAGCAATATGAAGTTAGTATATACCAGAGAAAGTACTGTGATTTAGAGAGAAAAGGAAATAAAACTTCACTATACATTTCATTAAATTTGAGTTTTGTGGAATAAAATGTTAAATTCAGGGATATATCGATAGAAATTTTGATCTTTGCAGTTAATTTCTAGCTTGCATTAACTCTAGAGATAAAATATATTAGGTATATGGGCCATCACTCACCACAGCTACCCCAAAAATCACTAACCTGTCATTATATGTTTTCTCTCAGTGAGTCCTCAGAATTTTTCTCAACACAATGCCCCAGGCAGCCGCTTCCAGTCACTTAGGATTGGCAAAGAAGATGAAACTGATTTGCCACTCTGAGACCAACAGTCTCAGGGATATATGCCAATACACAAATGTATTTTTCCTACTTTGTAGTAGATATATCTTGTATATAGCCATGATCTTTGAATGTAAAAAAATCTTTCTTGTAACTTAAATTATAGTATAAACATGAAATTTTTATACAACTATTTTTACAGGTATTAACACTACTTATGGTACAATAAACTATTCCTCTTTTACCAGTACCCATTCTGTCACCCTTCATACCATCCAGAAATAATAAAGTGTTTGCTTATTGTTAATCACTAAATGCTTATTTAGAAATTATCACTGCACTCATTTCAAATAAACTGTTAATTTAGAAAAACCTTATGTAAACTTCTCTTTATCACTTCCATGACTACAACCTACTTTTTTCATATTTCAACTAATCTTTTCATTACTATTTGTAAAGCAATAACAAAATGGACATTTATTATACACTAATGTGGAAAGTTACCATTATTCTTCTGGAATACATCCTTTTGCCTCTTATTGAAAGGCATTTCCCTCTTTTTTACATCCTTTTGGACTCTTCCAAATGAAACTCCACTAATTGCATTGTAAAGTCACACCAGATAGATTTTGAGATCATGCAGATGTGTGTTGACAAAATAGCTATTTCAGACTTTGTACATTGCTTTGAAAAAAGTGTTTTAGTGACTGAGAAATGACATTTGCTAAAGAAAATAGGTTGACTGAAGGTAAACAGCTGTTTCTATTTTAAATATTCCACCTGTTGGACCACATTTTATATTTGTCCCCTTTTCAATTCAGATCTTCAACAGATTCATCTTTTAGCTATTATTTATTTAATGATAGATGTCTGATATTTGTAATATTGATGTAGGTAATAAGCTGTTTGGTGTTACATTGTACCTCTTGGCTGGGCCTTTGGGAACTTTATTATAATGCACAGTTCTTTGTTGACAGCATCAAATAGATTTCCAACTGCTATGAAAAAATGTAATAATATCTCATTGTCTATAGCATTATGATGTGAAATCTTAGAAATGTGGTTCCTTAAAAGCACATCTTAGTATATTGGCTTTGTACCAACACTTAATATATATCTTCTTAGAGAGTCCCCATTTAAAACTCACTTTGAATCAACTTAATAAATCCTTGCTATGAAAATATTTTATGGCTACTTATCAAAGGATCTTTATGTAAAAATAATAATAATTATAATTATCATAAATTGATGCTTGTTGATTTTTCTGTCATGCATGTGGTATCATTGTAGTATAGTCATTAAAATACATTTAGATTACTTATGCAAATCACTACTTAAACATCTTGAATAAATGGACTGATATATTAATTCACTCAATGTTAAGTGATTTTTATTTGCAATATTTCTTGAAAATATACATGCCTATTCTCACATATACCCAAAACTTCACCCACCGACCACATACCTCTTCTTCCACCAGATTTAGAGATACAAAGATAGTAAAACAGTTCCTATTTTCAAGGAGTTTATAGTTTGGTGGAACTTCAAGTCAAATAATCAGTCTGTTCAAAAAAACTTGAGCAAGATTGGTTCATCTACTTAACTTGTTTGTTGACAAAATTAATTGAACAAGTCACCTGCTGTAAAGCAATTGAGTAGAAAGAACTATATAGATCCTATTATAGAAAATATTCTGCCACCCCAGAAAACTCATAATTCATGGGCTGGATCATTGGCATTTTCAATGTCTCTTGAATAACCACATACCTCAAATGAGAATTAAAATGACATATGCTACAATTTGTGTGACATTGATAAGCCCCAGAACACTTAACAGGTCCAATTTCCATGATTCAAACGTACTGGTCAGGGAAGATGTATGTTCTCTCTCTCAGAACCAGAAATCAATAATTTGAGGTATTCTCAATTAGCTCCATAACATGCTATAAAGATTTTATTAGATAACAATAGAACTAGTGAAATGTCAGTATATGGCAATCATTTAAACAAAAAACTACTTGAAATTTAAGTAAAGAGCTTAATATAGTCACAGATATATTTAAGTAGATCATAGTCAGTAATTTGAATTCTTCTCAAATGATATTCTCATCAATAAATTGTAGGAAACTAATCTAATGAATGGACTTGGAACTGTCTGAAATCCAATATTGGTTACTCAGTGATTGGTAACTTGGGAATGACATTATCACATCATACCCTGGGAAGGCTCACAGAGACTGTGTATAGCTCTGAGTTAAGCTGCACACTTGAATGGTGCATGTGGCTGGTACTCCCAGAGCTGTGCAGTCTGCAACTTACACAACCTTCAGCAGCCCCAAGAGCCTGCAAATGGCTTGATGTTAATGTCTTGATTAATGGTTTTGATGATTAATATGATTCTCACATTTATGTCAAGATTAGCCCTAAGTTTCCTAAGAGAAAATGTACTAGGTTCCATTCAGAGTGACTGTATCAAATGAGTTAGAAGTTCTACATTATAGTTTGTTAAGATTGGCTGTGCATTCAAAATTTGGCTAATTTTAGCAAAATCCTCAAGTATATGCAAGATTTGCTTGAAAAATAAAGTAGATTCAAGGTTATCCCTACAACAATGGCACTGTCATTTGCATCTCAAAGTGTTTTCTTGAGTAGCAGGTGAGGAATGACATCATAGTAAGCACCCCTGGTCTCCACCTAACCAGCGCCCCCTCCTGTCTGTACCACAGTCCTTAATAGAGGTAGACCCACAGGAATGGGGGGCATGGCCCGCATCATTTTTTTGTGTTGGGGAGACTAAAAAAGAGGAAGTCTGCTCTGAAAAATGAATTAGACTCACAAATACAGATTAGTCAAAGGAAGTTCAGACTTTTGTTTGAGAATAAGAAAGAGAAAAACAACAACAACAAAAAAAACCCACAAAAGTCCTAGGGCAGCAGATTCGCATTGTCAGCTGTTTCTGATTCAACTCAATGCCCCCTTTGGCCACCTTTCCATCATTATTGTAAGGGAAGACCCCTCTGCTAACTAGGCCATTCATCTTAGGTAAAGCCTTAAAGGGAATGAATTCAGTGTCAATGTTCTAATTCTTTAGTAACTACATAAGCTTTATTTACTCATCCATTCAATAAATATATACAAATTTCTAATGAATACGACATAGTCCTTTCTCAAACAGCTCATAGTCAAGTAATGCAGACAGATGTAAACAAAATACTGCACTATGGTATCCTAAATCCTAAATATGAGCAAAACAGAAAAGAAGAATGCTCAACTTATTTACCGTTTGGGCATAGAAAGAGAGACTTCACACATTAGAGGAAGTTCAAGCGGCAAGGGGAGGGAGCAAAGACCCATATGAATGTCAATACCACTCTTGGCTTCTCTACTCTCTGGAATATAAGAAAAAAATCTCCATGGAATGGTCTACAAGGGGCTGAGGTTGGGGCTTCCTCAAAACAGAACCAAGTTTACCCGCATCCTGCAGATGGCAATACTTTCTGGGAAGAAATACAAATTTATAAGAGACTAGAGAGCAACATGGGTCCAAAGTGGATATGGAGATGAGAGAATGTGATCTCTGGATCCTCCTTGGACCACTGTGTTTTTATTTATTTATTAATTTATTTTAAAGATTTATTTATATGTTTGAGAGAGAGACAGAAGGAAGGAGAGGGGCAGAGGGGGAGGGAGAGGGAGAATCTCCAGCAGACTCCCTGCTGAGTGCAGAGTCTGAGGTGGGGCTCCATCTCAGGACCCTGAGATCAAGACCTGAACCAAAACCAAGAGTACACTTGACCCACTGAGCCATCCAGATGCCCATGGACCACTGTGATTTGAAACACATATAAAAATCAGAAGTTATTCTTACACTGCCAAGGCCATGTGTTTCTCTCTGCTGTTTCCATACCAGCTATACTCATCTCCTTTTCACTCTTCCAAAATGCTCTGTTTCCCATCCTCAGGGCTTTTGCGTATCCTGTTCCTTCTGCCAGGAACACTCTTCCTTCCCCAACACTCCACTAAATTCCCAAACACACTTCATATCTCAGCTTCAACTTCACTCCTGGGAGGTTCCCTGACCATATCTCCACCTCCCATCTGAGAAAAATCAGATTCCCCATTTATAAGTTCTCATACTTCCCTGTTCTTTTTTTCATAACACTTAGGTTGTTTTCAATGATATATTTGGCTATTGTTTCCCATCTCACTAACTATGGAGCAGTGGGCAAATATTAAACTATTTTGCTCACCCCTGTATTTTGTTAATGTGTATTTAGCCTAGACTTTATTTAATAAATAAGAATATATGCTTAAACCAATTTAAGAATGTTATCTTTGATACACTCCTTTGTTGTGGCTACTTCAGTGGCATCCTTCACTTCTGAATCTCAACATAGACTACTCAAATCAGATGTTTTAGTTATTTTCAATTGCACTTTCTAGTGTATAATCTCAAATACCCAAAGGAAAAATGTCTCTACTTTTTTTTTTTAGAAATTGCTATGATTTTTATTCAATTTGGGATCCTGATTAGAAAAGCAGTGAGATTTATGCCTTACAAACATTGCATTGTTAGTACATCATTTTGAGATGGCTTCACACTGATTGTATATAGAGAAAAAGTAACATTGGAATTAAGGCAATAACCACATGTACAAACCAAGCACAATACCCTGACACAGTCCTTGGTAAAAAGCTCTTTTGCTTAGGTGGTGGTTGATATTACTGCATGCAGGTCAATTACTGAAGGATATGCTTCATTTATTTAAAAAATCCCTCCTACTGGCCCACGATGGCCAGAAGAAGCTTTCGGTAATCTCCACTTGTGTCACTTGAGATCATTGTGCCCAGGGTCTTCTGATACATCTGACTGAACGTCTGTTTTATTTGTACAAGATCAATCTCACTTCGAGTGACCACAATCCTGACCAGGGTGGAGTCATCTGTGCCGGCACTTTTCATAGAATAGTAGAGCCTCTCAGCAAAGAAGGCAGGGCAGTTCAGGGCACACTGCAAGATGGTCTTTAAACCACTTTCAACATTTCCAGAAAATTCACGGGCAACACTACTTAGCAAGTCTCAATTGGCCACCCTGGAATAAGACTCCACGGTAGCTTTCAGTTGAGGAAAGCTTCTTGTGGCAAGAATCATGTTAAAGCAAGATTCATCTGTCCCTAGTCTCCCCTCACCGGCTTGATAGAGACGTTGAGCATCTTCCTGAGCCAACTGGTGGTTAACATTCTGGTTCTCATCACGATTTCCCTGGCACATGGATACAAGTAAACGTTCAAAATGCCCTGATGTATCTGACCTAATGTCCTTTTCAAGGTCTCGTCCAAATTCTGATTGATAACATCTGACAATTTCTCGGATTTCCTGATTTGTTCTTGTGCACAAAATTTCAATCAATACACGTTCCTGAGTTCCTGCTCCCTTCATTGCATTCCGTAAACTCCAGGCATCGTAATATGTAGATGGCATGAACAGGGCAAGGATCAGTTCTTCCGTATTTCCACTTAACTCTGATTTAAGGTCTTTGATTAAATCCTTGCCATACATGGTCTTAAAAGCTGCGTTAATTTTTTGCCTCTGATCACTGGAACGGTTGGCCACAACGTCCACAATTGCCTGCTCGTCTGTGCCAAAACCCTTTATTGCTTTCTGAAGAATTTCTGCGTCTCTCATGGCATCGAAGTTCGCAGCTGGCCGGACTGTTCCTTGAGCTCCCTGAGTCATCGCAGCAGGCTGACTTGGGAAAGGAGCTTGTCCTTCAGGATACTGAGAAGGTATCTGTCCTCCAGGAAAACCACCAGGCAGTGGAACCTGTGCTGGGCCACCACCGTAAGACTGTGAGGGTGGCTGTGGATAGCCAGAAAAGCCTGCTCCACCCGGTGGGGCTCCAAACCCTTGACCTGGAAGAACTCCTGGATAGGCTGGAGCTCCCCCTGGTGATGGGGCACCAGGATAGCCTCCAGGGGCTGGATAACCTCCAGGGGCAGGGTAGCCTCCAGCTCCTGGGTAGCTGCTACTTGGGGCTTGTGCGTAGGCACCTCCTCCCACTGGAGGAAAGCCACTAGGATAAGCATACTGACAGGAGGGGGAAAAGATGACTCCTGACCTGCAGGAGGATATCCAGGGAAAGGTGGGTAGCCTGTTGGGGGATAGCTTGGGTATGACATTCTGACCCCGGGAAGCAGCGTCACAGCCCAACGCTGGTCGCCAGCAAGATGGAGCCGGGGGAGGGTCCGGGGAGGCGGAGCCTCTACTTTTTCAAGAGTAAGGCTTAAGGGAAAAATCTTTAATGTCCACTTTTTCATCTTTGCTGTTCTTTTGATGCATCCAACTTGGCAGTTATAAAAATTTTCTTCTGAGAAAGAAAAGACCTCTGAGCCACAGGCCCTTCTAATGTGAGGCATAGGAAATTTCTGTTATAAACAGAGGAAGTCGGATGTTTCCTTTTCCATAACTTCTAAGAAAGTAATTATTGCTAACATCTATTCCCACCTAGGATTAAAAGAAACTTAATAACAAATCCAAGAAAATCCCTCATCACAGAAATTTATTTGCTCCATCTAGAGAAATAGATGTTAAACAACATTCTTATCAACTTGACGGGAATGTTTGCTGTTTGTACATAACTTAGATAAGTATATTTTAGTTATTGACAAGTCTACACCATTTTTTGCTAATGTAGGTGATTTTATGTTTATCAAATATTTGTAATGATAACTAGACAGTGAGTCTTCATAGACAAAACAAAAGGCATTATAGTTGAACACTTGCACAGGATTTTATAACTTTAGATGCTTGAGTCTTCCCACATAATTTATACTCCAAATCAAACATTTTTGAGAGTGCAAGAGAATACTAAAAGTAATTAAAATTATATAACTTCTGAAATGTTTAATTTTTCTTTAATTTTAGGAGAGTTTTAGTATATTGTGGATTTATATACATAATTTTAAATTTGTTTATTCTCAAAAGTATTTTCTTCTTAAAAGTAACATATTTGTATAAATTAAATCAAAATGATATTTTAATCTTTTTTATATTGACTACTTTGAATATAATATAAGCCAAACTGTCAATTTTAGCTCTGACATGTAGAACTAGGAAGTTGTCACTCTCATTCAAAAAAAAAGAAGTTGAATAAACTGAACATTAATTACTTTCTTAAACCCACCAGAGAACTGAGGTGGCATGGCAAACCCTAATCCCAAAATCCAAAGAGATAGGAGAATCAAGAGGACCACAGCTTGGATCTGCTTGCCAATAGCAGAAACCACTAGAGACACAACTGGTAGGAACGTTTAAATGATTATTTTGATTAATTACAAGATTTGAGAATGGTCTGGGATGAGAGTGAGAAAGTCCTGAAAGCCACAGTCTAGAAGAGTTCCCATACTTGTGAATTTTACCTCCAGGCATCTCTCCAGGTTCTCATAGTGAAGATCCACAAAAAACAGTAGGGGGAAAGACAGAAATCATTATGAAAAATGCCCACTGCCTTTTCCATAACACAAACCTATTCTCTAGGGTAAAGGTTTTACCAAAACCATATCTTATCTGGGGGAAGGGTATTCCTCCCACTCCAACCTTCTGCATTACCTAAAGGAGGAACACATACAACCACTTGATAAACACTATCAATGTCACATATTAAAGACTGAGATTCAATCATAAGATTATAGAATATTTTCGATCTTTCACATCTCACCACCATACCAACAGAGCTCTTATACAACAATAGTGGATCACAGCTGAAATTGCCACAAGATGCAAACTCTCCCTAAGGAGGTGTACTTAGGGAAGCCCAGAGTCAAGAGGGAAGATAAAAACAAGAAACTAAAGGAATTTGAAGCCCCTGGCACCCAGAGCTAAAACAAATATCGAGCACAGTCCAATGTTTATCATAACATAAATTTTCACACTAAATGCCTATTTTCTTCAATTTCTATTACCCAATATAATACGTACAGCTTTTTCCAAAAGTTACAAGTCATGACAAAAGGCAAAAGAAGACAACAACAAAAAAAGCAAACAAACAAAAAACCCCACAGTCTAAAGGAACAAATCAAACATCAGGAGACTCAGATACGACACTGATGTTGGTTGGAATCATTAGACCAGGAATTTAAAATAATTAAAATTAGTATGTTAAGTGGTCTAATGGAAAAAGTGGACAACATGCAAGAACAGATATAGGAGAGAGATGGAAACTCTTAAAAAAGAATTAAAAGAAAAGAGTTGAAATTAAAAATTAGGATAACAGAAATGAAGAATGACTTGGACTAATTGATTAGAATAGGATTCAGCCAAGGAAAGAATCAGGGAACTTGAAGATAGGTTAATGGAATCTTTACAAACCAAAATGCAAAAACAAATAAGAATGAAAATATAGAACAGACCATTCAAGAACAATGGGAAAATTTCAAAAGATATAACATAATTGGAATACTAGAAGGGGAAGAAAGAGAGAACAGAAGAAACATTTGAAATAATAATGGTTGAGAATTTTCCAAAATTAAGGACAGCAAACCACGGATAAAGGAATTTTAGGGAACACCAAACAAGATAAATACCAAAAAATTGACACCTGGGCATACAATATTCAAGCTGCAAAACCACAAAGACAAAGAGGAAATCTTTAAAGAAACTAGAGAGAGGTTGGGAGGGAGGAAATATTAACTGTAGAAGAATAAGGATAAGAATTATACTGGACTTCTCATCAGAAACACACAAGACGAAAATAGAGTCAAATACTTACAGTATTAAGTGAAAAAAATCCACCCACCTGGAATTATATATACAGCAAAATTAACCTTTATATGAAAGGGAAATACTTTCTCAGACAGGCAAAACTGAAGAGAGTCATTGGCAACAAACCTGTATAAGAAATGTGAAAATGAAAAAAGAAATGTGCAACTGTTCTTCAGAGAGAGAGACAAACTTGGATCCACATAAATAAAGTGTTGAAAAAGAATAAAGGTATTTTTTTCTTAGTTTAATTTGTCTAAAAGATGATTGTTTCTTTAAAGTAACAATAGTAAAATTATATTGAGTGATTATAGCATATGGATAAATGACATCAATGTCATAAGGATGGGAGGAGGCATTGGGAATATTCTGTTATAAGTCACCATTACTACATGTGAAACAATCTAGTATTAGTTGAAAGATAACTTAAAAAGCTTGAAAATATATATTGGCAAGTCAAGGGCAACCCCTAAAATGTTTCTTAACATAAATATAATTGATATGCTAAGATAGGAGATAAAACAGAACCGTGTAAAATGCTCTTTAAACATAGAGAAAGCAGAAAGCAAGAGGGGAAAAGAAACAATGAACAAATGTAATGAATAGAAAACAGTTGCAGACACGGTGGATGCTAACTCAACTATATCAATAAATACCTTAAATTGTATAAATACACTAATTAAAAGACAATAATTATATGAATGGATTTTTAAAAGAATCAATTATATGTTATCTACAATAATATAAACAGAGAGGCTAAAAGTAAAGCAATGGAGAAAAATATACAATGCTAACACTAATCAAAAGGAAACTCTAGTAGCTATGTGAATCTCAGACCGGGTGGACTTCAGCATAAGGAAAATTATCAGGGATCTAGAAAGGCTTCTGACAATAATAAGGTCAATTCTCCAAGAAAGCATAACAATCCTAAAGGTGAATGTACAAAACAACAAAGCATCAAAATAGGCAAAACCGATTGAACAGAAAGGATAAATATACAAACCCGTTACTGTTGTTAAAGACTTCAACATCTCTCATTTATTAATCAATAGATTCAGTAGGCAGAAAATCAATAAGGATAAGATTGACCTGAATAGCACCACTAGCTAATTTGATCTTATTGACATTTGTAGAATAATTCATCCAACAATAACAGATTACACATTCTTCTTAAGCCCATGTGGACCATTTGCCAAGATAAACCACATTCTTGGCCACAGAACACATATTAACAAATTTAAAAGAATACAAATCATAGGACATATTTTCTCAGATCACAAAAAAATTAAACTAGAAGTCATTAACAGACGGATAGCTGGAAATTCCCCAAATATTTGGAAATTAAACAACACTTTTCCGAACATGATGGGTCAAAGAAGTCTCAAGTGAAATTTTAAAATATTTTGAGCTAAGTAAAATGAAAATTCAACTATTAAGATTTGTAGAAGCAGTGAAAGCATATTGAAAAAATAACAAAAATTAGTGCAGAGAGCAATGAACTTGAAAACAGGAAACAATCGAGAAAGTCAACCCAAAAGCTGACCATTTAAAAAGATAAACAAAATTGATAAATCTCTCAGCCAGGTAAATGAAAAAAAAAAAGTAGAGAAGATACAAATGACTAATACCAGAAATGAGAGAAGGGTTATCAACATGGACATTAAAAAATGAAAAAGGAATATTATGAACAACTCTCTGCCCACAAATCTGATAACTTAAATGAGATAGATCCATTCCTTGAAAGACACAAGTTACCAAAACTCACACAAGGAAAAATTAACAGTCCTATATCTACTAAAGAAATCTAGTGAAAAATTAATAACCTTCCAGAAAAGAAATCACCAGGCCCAGATGGTTTCACTGATGAATTTGACCGAACTTAAAAAGAATAAATGATAACGATTTTCAACAATTCTTTTTTAGAAAATAGAAGCAGAGGAAATATCTCCTAACCCATTCCATGAAGCCAGTGTCACCCTAATATTAAAGCCAGATAAACATTACAAGAAAGAAAATGTCAAAAGAGTGTATAGTGTGCAAAGGGAGCATGCTGGAAGGGATTCTGGGAAAAAAAGCTGGTTATCACATAAAAACTGAGGGAATATGATTACACTATGGAATTTAGTTAATAACAATTTATCATTATTGGTTTACTAATTGTACCAAACGTACCCCCATACTAATGTGAGATGTTAATAATAAGGGACACTGAATGTGAGGTATATGGGAACTTTCTGTAATAACCCCTGAAGTTTTCTAGAGACATAAAACTATTTTTTTAAAATAAGTTCATTTAAGAAAATGTTTTACTCTATGAAAAACACTATGAAAAGAATGAAAAGGTGAGTCATAAACTGGAAGAAAACTCTTGCAAATCATATGTCTGATAAAATATACAAGAACTTAAATCTCAACAGTACAAAAAAAATAACAAAATTTTAAAATGGGCAAAATATCTGAATGGACACCTTACCAAAGAAGATATGCA